GGGGGGGAAAGAATAGGGGCCCGGGGGACGGAAAGAAGAGAAAAAAAAGCAAATGCGACTTTATTTACGGTGGAAGGAGTGAGTGAGTGAGTGAGTGGTGATGGTAAACAGGAGCGGATTTTGTTCTTGTAAACAGCACTCGATGGGAGGAGTGGGAGATGGTTTGTTACGGAAGGAAAAGATCATATCATCGGAACGTATTTGCTCCGGTCGTGAAGATCCCTTGAATCCGACCTGAAGCACAATCGCTGTGCTGAAATAGTTACAATCTGGTCGACTCCAAACGCCTGTTGCATAGGATCAAACTGCGCCATTTTGAAGGTGTCTTGTGGCCGAAGCTTCCCGCCAGCGACAGACAGTGCTTTTTCTTTCCTACGGACCCCATGCGAAAAAGGAATGGCATCCCATATCGATGCCGACCTTTCGACCTCGCATCTCCTGAGCCGTGGACCTCCTGCCGCCATAAACCCCTGTGCTGGTGTCGCAGCAGACCGAAATCAGACCTGCGTTTTAATCGTTCCTCACCAGGTAGAGAACCAGGACCGCGATGAGAAAAGCAGGGTAAGTTCTTGAGAATTATACGAGATAAAAAGCCAACGAGGCGGGATGAGGACTGAGTAGTTAGTGCTACATGAGGCATCGACAGCTCTGAGCTTGAGAATAAACAAATCAAAGCCCAGACGACTTCTAAACATTATCTATTTCCGCTCGCTGATGAACCCATATGCAACGGGTAACAATTCAAACTGCGTGGAATACACACCCCCTGGACCCGTTGTACCCCCTTTCCGGGCGAATAACTAAACTTCCACACCCCTCCCCTCATAGACATTCCACCAAACCCCCATACAGGCCGCGACAACCAGATCCGCCATCTTCAGCCCTTCATCCCTCAGCACCAACTTGCCCAACTTGGCACTCTTGCCTTTCCTGCCGCCTCCGGCGCGTTCGCGACCGAGTTTCAGGTCCATCCGGCCGGAAGAAGAAGAGGCGAAGGAATCGTTGGCGGCGGCCGCCTCGTCATCTGAATCATCACCATATTGATATTGGAAGGTACTAGAGAAAGAATTGGAGGTCGAAGAGGTATCCCGAGCGTGCGCGGTGCCCGGTATGGTAGGTCGAAGATCGGTGTCGGAAGAGGTAGAGGACTTGATTTCCTGCCTGAACCGCGCCATGCCTCTTTTCAGACTGTGTTTGGCATCTTCGCCGAGATGGGCGAGGGAGTTGGAGGTTTTGGTCCTTCTGCCAGCACCTGTAGATGGCTCGGTGTTGGTGTCTCTGCTTCGGAGCGCGCTCCAGGGTAGGTTGAACCTCAGTTCGGCGACGAGAACGGAATTGTCGCTCGGTTCCGAGGTGCTGGAGGATGGGAGTTTGTGTCTGCATTTCAGGCTGCGGCCGTCCATGCCGGTGGTGAATGTGCAGGTGCCGTTCCACGGCGAGAAGAAGGTGAGCTGCGATGGTGTGGTGGGTGAGATGGAGCTGGCTAGCTGTGGTAGAGAACTTGGGAAGGACTCCGAGGAACTGCTACGGTGGTGGTGATGCTGGGAACCTGGTGGTCTGTTTAGTGTCATGTCACGTGTAAATGATGTTGGTTCGAAGTGCGTGCATGGTCGTCTTGACGCCTTTGCCGGAGAGTCGTTAGTCTTCTGAGTAATGGAGCCATACCCTTCAGTGCTGCCACCTTGGTGTTCTCTTGGGGCTTGATCGTATGCTTGAAGATTGGGCGCTTGGGACTCGAATTGCCTGGCGAACTTTTGGTACCCAGGAGTCGTAATCTCAATTCCGATTGAATCCTGTTCCATCATTGCTGGTCGTCGCACTCTCGACAGGCTACCAATATTCCACTGTGAACCAGAACTAGGATCTCTGCGGATGATAGTGACGCGGAAATCGTTTCCCATCTCATGCTCGGAGAGAGAATATGATGGTCGTAGAAGAAGCGGCGGCGGGAGTTGAGAAGAAGCACTGGCAACATCTGTGATAGAGCGCGATACAGAATTCGAGGAGCATTGGCTTCCTGGACAACCATCAGAGTTCAGCTGCCGGCCTTCACGACTGTCCATGGCCCGAAATTGAGCTGGAACCTCTGTGGAGGCTCTCTGGCCTGTTCTTCCATCTCCACCAGAGCTCCCCACAGGTTTCCTCTCTATTACCCCCGAGTCTGCCGTCTTCAACCTGGAACTGTCAGGCCGTGGCCCCACTGGCTTTCGTGCAATCACAGAGCCCTCATCCTGCGACCTGAATACAACGCGCTTGGCTGTTTCGATGTGGCTTCCATCTGGAATGTCTCCCTCGGACTTGGTAACAGGTCTGGAAGAATGTGAAAGGCCTGTTGCTTCATCTTCCGGAGCTTCGCCAGTAGACCGCTCGGTAAAGAAGGATGAAGGAACCGGTTTTCTATGGATTTCATCTACCCGGCTGCCTTGTTCTGCGCTCCATGACCGACGGTGTTTCTCGAGTGACTCTTTCACTACCTCATCTTGTGGTGTGGAGATGTGGAAATAATAGAGCGACGACTGGATTGCTTCAGCGCTGATGGATGCCTTGGTAGGAGGCTTGAGCGGCGAGAGGAATATGTCTGTGCACAGCTTCAGTCATCTTCATGCTACCCGGGCTTTTCAGCACATTCCATTACCTCTACTACCCGGTACTCGAACGATGTACAGATTGAGTGGCTCGAGAACTTTGTGAGTAGGGTTTCGAGGGTACTGTGGAGGGTTGGCAAAGAGTGTAGTCAGTGAAGACAGCGAGCGAGCCTCTACTGGCGCTGTCATTGATGATGGTACAGGTACACTAAGGACTGGGCCGTTAGAGTGGTCACGAAAAGGCGCCTGCGGGAAGCAGCAGATGGTTGATAATTCGTCCTAAAAGGAGGCATAGCTTGAGAGGTCGAATGGCGGTATGCAGTTGTTACGTGTAGGTGAGGCTGAGACCAGGTCAGAAGTTAACAATCGTGTTGCCTATGGTGACTTGGGGCAACGCAGTAGGCTGTGATATGGCTGTAGTATGGCTATTGTATGGCTGTAGTATGGCTGTGACGCGTAATTTCGCTGGCTGCGAGACGAACTGGGGGCACTGATACAATTGGTCATGCTGCAGGGTCTTCAAGTCAATAAAACACCATTTGTCAACCGTGTCCAGACACATTGCCTTGGGTATTATGTACACTAAGTACACCTAAAGCTTCTATCACAAGAATGGGAAAAACCCCCCCGGTCCTGGTCGCTTGCTATGCAATAACGCTAAAACAGTGGGCAAGATCCAGAAGTGTGCATACATGACTGAAAGACAGCCAGCACTGGAGCTCATGGAAGTCAGAAGCAGGACTTGTCCCACAGCACGGGCTCAGATTATAGGTTCAAGCATCGTCCAGCGACTCTCCTCGTCACGGTCCTTTAAAATTATTCTCTGCGGATCAAAATCTACCACTTCGCACACGCATTAGCCTCCGCGTGTTCCCATTCTCCACTAGGATGGATTCTTTCCCGGAGCGCAAGAGGGACTGGGGCTGAATGCTCACTTTGTGCTTCGCGCGCATCACCGCTATTGCCATCTTCTGTTGCGTCCCTCATCTCGATGTCTCTCAAGGGTTCCGCTGGAAGCTGCATATCTCGGCACACGCTTTCAACCAGTTTGTCCTTGTCTTCGTCACGCACGTAGACCAGATAGTAAGGATTCGAAGGACCGTTCCATTGTCGAAACTCCGCTTCCGATGGTCTGCGGAATATCTCATTGGTATCCTTCACTTCTTCTACTCTGGTATCATTGTATTTCAGCCACATCTCTCTTCGGAAATCGAAGATGTAGATCCAATAATGGCCTGAAGAAGCAGTTCCGTGATGGAAGAAGGCTGCATGCAAGCGATAAGCGTGTCGGCGGAAGGCCGTGTCCGCAAATTGTGAATTGATGTTGGTTGACAGGTCTTTACTGCGTGCTTCGAGATCTCGGAGCTCAAGCTGGGCTTGCTCAGCCAATGCCTCTAGCGTGGCAATGACTGAAGCAGGCACTTTCAACCCGTCTTCGCCTTGGATGGACAAGTCCTGAAGGTGCATCAGGGCTGTTGTCGCATTTTGAAATGTCGTCTGCATATCAGGATGTGATTGGTCTGCCGTTAATTCCAATCGCCGAGCTTCCAAATCAGCGAGCTCTTTCTTCCACCTCCACGCCTCCTCTCGTCGTTCCATCAAGGCAGGGTTTGTATCTTCTTCGAGATACCGATCCAAGTAGATCGTCTCCTTCAACTCGACATGGTGATTGTTCTTCTTTTGATCCAGCCCCGCCCGGTCAATCTGTATTTGAAAAATCGGAGGTAACCTGCTTATCGATAGAAATCTCTTCTTGTTGGCAATTTCCTCGACGTCGAAATAACCATCCAAAGCGGCATAGATGTCATGAGGAAGCGAGAACAGTCTGACGATGATGCTGCAGAATGTATCATTTTTGGCCTCATCCTTATCATCAGACATTATGTGCTGTTTCGTTCTACCGTAAAACAGATCTTTGATTTGGTCAACTTGCTCTCCTGCTTCATCAAACCCTAGAGGTCTGATAGCACAAGACAGCTGAAAGAGCACATGATTCAATACTTCCGTCACATCCTGTTGCCGAGCATATTCCTCCAAAGTGTGGTTCTGTTCGGGTGCTGGGAGAGGGCGTGGTGGTACTGGAGGCGGTCGACTCGGTTGCTCTGGTGAAATATTCTCCGTCTTTACATTTCTTGCCGTCTCGTGATCAGACGAATCGACTTCCGTGTCACCTTGCTCGTTGTTCGGTGAGAGTAAAGGGTCTACAAGAGGAGGAATATGCTCCGCGGCATCGGCACTGCCTTTGGCAGAGCCATGAGAAATGTGCGGAGCTAAGTTCTCTTTGTTGCTGAGTACGCTGCGTTGCTCTACTCTTGGTGCGCCATCTACTAAGACGGAACCATCAATGCTTGGTGTGGAGACAAGAGTGACCTCGCTAGAATTGTCCCCAGGTGCTTCCAATTCGACTGGGGATGGTCCTAGAAGCGGAGCAGACTCTGCCAATTCGTGCGCGTCTTGACGGGAGGGTACTACGCTCGGGTAGTCTTGACTCTCGCCTTCTGTCAAGGCAGATAGCAGAGGTTGATCATAGGTGTCCACTGGATTTTCGTTCAAGATTGGTCGCAACGGTCCTTGAACAGGAACGCCGTTGACACTTCCCAGAGGTCTTGATCCTCCGATTGTCGATCTGCGCCTGATATTCTCAGCAGCAGTAGAGGTCATTAGTGTGAGACGTGTTAGTTCCTGTTCAGGTGCAACGTATCTGTAGGGCGTTCTTATCATCTCGAGGAAGAGATCTTTGAGCTTCAGCACAACTAGACTGGTTAGCACAACATCTCTAAGGAATAGCTTATCGAGCTTTATTAATCCTTACATCGTTGCGCCCGTTGTATCTCACGTAAAGTGATCTGCCGGGAGCCCACTCTTTTCTTGGCTATGTTCGCAGCAGTCAACTCCATCTTCACGTCATCAAAATTCAGAACTAGGTTTCGTAATTCTGGGATGGTGAATAGAAACTGTAAGAGACTGTTGAGGTAGCAGGTGTTTCCAATGTTTTCGAGGCCAACTGGCCAATCGGGGAAACCGAGTTCTGGAAACGTTTGAAGACCTCGAGAGGTCGCCTGCATACGCGAACCCTTTCTGTCGGCAACAATAGCATTGAAGGCTTTGGTGTACGTCTCTGCCTGTCCTGGATTATCCTCCATTGCCACTCTATAAGCTGACTCGATGATTGTGTCATCAATGGTAGCATCATCTATGCCAAATTGTCGGTATGCTTCACCTATCTCCATCGCTGTCTCGCCCAACTCGCCTGTGCTCAACCAACTTTCAAGCGCCGTGCTGCATCGAGTCTCCGCAATAATCTTTATCGCTTTGCGCGCACTTTCCTTAAGTGTTGGATCTTCAGTTGTCTGCATGATCAAATGTTTAGCGAGCTCCCAGCAGGGGTTTGTGTCCACAGGTGGTGGTCCACAGGAAAAGCATTGGCTGGATAATGGTTCCTCGGGAGAGTGCACTGACCTTGGTGGTATAGAGCGTTGGGAAGAATTCGTCGACAAGCGATGCATCTGTATCAAAGAATGCCAAAGCTTGCTCATAAGTGTTAAGTGCTGCGGCGGCATGAGTGTTTTGGTTCACAGGCTTGGCATAGGCGGCAACTTACTATCCTCTGCAACATCTTTGATGCGGCGACTTTGGCGATGTATGCCTATTATCCTGAGATGGCCCCTCATATCAGCCTCGTGTTTAGCGGCATCTTGAAGCCTCGCTTGGAAGGTACCAAGTATCAAATCATCAGTGAGTCCTTCGTCCCGTGCAGAAAGCGCGAAGTAATTGTACGCAGCGTAGAGTTGTTCTGAATCGAAATTGCCGGCTGAATATTCTGTAGCAACAAGGGTGTCCAGCAGTTCGCTTCTCCGCTCGAGGGCGATCTGGCGAAGGTATGTAAGATATGTTGGTCCCTCCCTTCCATTTGTACGAATCTGCTCGTGATATGCAAAGCTTACAAGCTCGTCACTGGCATCTTGAGGGGCTCCTAATGCTGTAAAGTAGCTAATGGCGAATGTTAGCGTATCACTTGCCGAGACTTGCTATGGTATTTACATATTTCTTGTTGCAGGATCCAGAGTCGCGGTTCGAGCTGATGTGTGCTTGTCGTCTAGAGATACACATTAACCGCTGCAGAAGCACTAGCAGTGAGCACTTACAGTCCTGCGTTCCGAACAACCGAAGGAGTTCCCTTTCTGCGTCTGGCAGCTTGGCGATATCATGAATTTGACGGCGGTCTTCTTGAGGATATGACAAAATCAAGATGTTGATTTCCGATAATACGTCTTCAATAAACGTATCGAGAGCATTCTTTGATGGAGTTGAGCCGTCGTAGCTAGGCTTAGGGGGCAGCCAGTGCTCCTGGTGCTGTAAGAAAGTTGAAAGTAAGCCAATGCCGATCTGGACGGGTGAGACCAGGAACTCACCTCGTACTTGAATCCGAGGAAGTTTAGCACATCTTTGCAGGGCTGCCCATCTTTTCCAAATCTCAGGTTAAATCTCTTGTTATCAATTAGGATAGGTCTAGGCGCTTGCCGTTCAACGGAGTTTCTCAGATAGCGGTTCAAGTCGCCGAGAACGTCGACAGGTGTCGGCTTTTGGTGTCCTTCGAATCGAGCTGGATCAGAATTGATAACGTCTTCTGCTCTCTGATTCAGCAGCGTTTTGTCGGTGAGTAGTCGAACGTGTTCATCAGACAGCATAGGAGGACGCAGCCGCACAAAAGTGACGGCAGAGCAAGTTGGCGAAGAGCACACGAAAGCATATGTCTCGGGCTTTGTCTCGCCATCTGCCAGAAGACTATATTTCCTTGGGGTGCTTTCCCGCCAAGGTGAATGAACCAGATGGTGTAAGGGACGGATCGAGTTAGGACATGGTTCCGGTTCCCAACCCATCGTGTAATTGACTTCCACTTCAACATGCATGCGACACTTCTGGCATACCCCTGCAAGTTTGTAGACCGAATCAGGAGAAGGACGGGCATCAAGAGCAGGCAGAACATTCTGCTTGTCCTTCGCACACCAAGAATGCCGACAGCTGTCCTCTGGTAGCAAAGTAGCAACATTTTTGTAGCCCGAAAAGGATAGAGGCGTATCTCTTAGCACATTCAGGCCGGTTGGAAGAGGGCGTCGAGAGTCGTACAGATTAAGATCTTCGATCAGGGTCGGTGCAAGCTTGCCTTCGCCGAAATCATCAGTTACCTTCCGAGCGATGAAACAGGGAACAATCCTTACCAGGCCCCTTTACAGACGATGAAAAAGTCCGGACGTCTCCCTCGGGTCCAGGCATACTAATTCTTGCCTGCGAGATTGCAGCTCCTGAGCCTGGCTCAGCCTGGTTGCTCCCAAGTGTGCACCAGACGGACTCAATGTGGGATTCGTACTCATGAAGATGCCAGCTCTACTTCACATCGAATGACAGAAGGAAGAAGGCTGTTGCAAACTGCGCATGCCAGAATGAAGGCCAGGTTCGGAGCAAACACATAGCTTTGGAAGAGACGACGCAGGCACAGACGGAAGAAGCCAGATGATGGGAGTATAATATCTGAAGTTGACGAAATTTGGATCTTGGAAGCGAGAACTTTCTAACTCAGAGCAAGCAATCCTGCCAGAGGCATCTTGCTGCTGCTTTTCATTTTGTGAGACTAGCGGTAGACAGCTTTACCATGTAACTTACCACATACAGTATCTCAGATGCAGCCTAACAGTTTTAGCCGCCGCAAGCTCGCCTTCCAACATACATACCTAATTTAGTTAGTCGAAGAGCTTTGTCTGCCCTCACCCCTCCGAAGCAGGTACCTCCGTACCTAGAATTACCTACGAACTGCACCCCAAGCTTACATCTGTCTGTCAGCGATCCTGGGTGTAGGCCTTTTACGGAGGATATCGCAGTCAACACACGTCCATTAATCAGCGGGCTTCAGCATCTCTACCACCTCACCTGGTTGGTGCTGATGAATCCTAAAGCCCTACCGGCTCCTTGATCTACCATGGCCGAACAGAAAGCATACCAGCCGAAGGATACTATCCAAGCTTCGGCCAAAGCGACCTTATATACAGGATCGGCCGGCCTGCTCTTCGCTGCCGTGCAGAACACATTGACAAGGCAGAACATTGGAGCTTTGGGGGTTTTCACTAGGTTTGGCGGGTCAATTGGCTTATTTGGTTTGCCCTCCACCCATTGGCAATATGGACAAGAGCTTAGACTACGTTTAGCTGCGGTCGGAGGGACATATGCATTTATTAGCACTGCGTCGGCCAATTTGAGAGAGAAGAACGATCCGTACAATCAAGCACTTGGGGGCTTTTGCGCTGGAGCTTTGCTCGGTGTTCCGAGTACGCGGATGTTGTCAGCAGTGCAAAGACCACAATGATGTTGCTAACGCTGCTTTATAGAACGACAAATGTCATCAGTGATCGGGCGCGGAGTGCTCGTGGCTATTACCCTGGCCGCTGCTTCGTATACTGGCAATTCCATGCTGAGCGAGACGGTTGATACAGAAACAGATCGGTTTCTTAGTAAGTCAGAGTTACGGAACAGATTCAGGAGACCAGTAAATGAGTTGATCAATGAGATTGGTGAGGGTCGAGGTATGTGTTCATTCCTAAAGTATAAAGAGCATCGCTGACTACCAATGCAGGAATATACGGGCCTGGCTATGAAGAGCGAAGAAGGCAGAGAATCAAGGAGAATTACGGCATCGATGTCCCTGAACCATACTACAAGAAACCATAGATCCCCAGCAAACCTTCATGAATGTATACATGGGCACAAGGCGAAATAGGCGAAATGGGTGTCCGCCTGGGTGTTGACGCCATCATGCGCAGTCATACAGAGTGACACTTCCTCATACCGTGCCTTCTGCAGCTGGAAGTTGCATGGTCACTGATGCTGCATACAATAAGAAGGCCCTCAGCACACCTTGTGCGTCTACATCAACCGAATAGTTGATGAAAGGCCAATTCCCAGACCATATCGAAATGGCAACTTGCTTGTAAACTTTCCAGCAGTGGCATCTATGCAAGGAACTGTAACTATCCACCATTGATTTGAAATCACATGTGTAATCTAGCACCTAAAGAAAGCTTCACTTGGGGAGATCCCACCAAACGTTCAGAGAGCAGTTGTACTCTGCAGGAGCGTGAAGATGGGCTTTTCTGGGTTGAGATGACCGTTTAAGTTATGAGGCTCCGAATATATACATGAAAGAAGGCATACATAACAATGAGCTTTTACTCTTGAAGGTGGAAGGTCTTTTGAACAATCGTTCCATTTTGTAGGCAACCGACATTCGGATGTGAGATACTTCTTCCGGACAAACCTCGCCCCCTTCATGTTTCGTCCATTGAGCATCAGATAACACTCTATCCATGTTCAACTCAGGCAGAGCATGTGGATTGTTATCAACCACACATCATCAACAGATCCTGTACGATCATTGCCCTTTGTATCCCCATTTCCGCAAAAGCCACGTTTGCGGAAATCAAGTTTGCAATTGAACCATGGGTCATCCCACCCAGGACAGCCAATCTCTAGTGATCAGCAAGCCTAAGCTTGGTGCTATTTGCTGGCCTCGAAATCTAAGATCCAGGCCGAGCAGGGTCATTGTTATTGCATAGCGCACCCCCCAAGCACCGAGACAACGTCATTTCACTCTTCACATCTGCCAACCTTCTCCCATTCCCTTCACACTGCTTCAAGTCGTTCTCATTCCACCGTTGTCCAGTCTCTCATCTTCACCTAAGAGGTCTGGACCGATAAAATCAAGCATACCCGCCCATTGTTTGCGCCAACTGCGCGCATCCCATCTCTGGCTTGGTTCAGCTTGTCACGATGGGTTCAAGGCCTGTTACCCCTTCGAACGAAATACATTATGTAAACGCGTCCGTCGCAAATCGACCGCGCAACACGAACTCGAGGCCAAATTCTTATTTCGCTTCCGACGCTGTTGGAGGCGCAGCTTCGTTGGCCCAGGGTCAAGGTCCTCACATGGATTCGTCTCCGCTGGCGCAGTCTCTTAATAAGCATGAAGACAGCTATGGCTTGAGCCAAAATGAGGACGCAGTCTTCGACGAAGGACATCGCAACATGACAGGTGGGGAACTGCGTCGATTCAACTCCCAGGTCTCACAGTCCCAGCCATTGATGCCATCGAAAGGAGGAACTTTGAAAAAGAAGGCCTCCCTCAGAAGGTCAGGAAGCGTTAAGAGGAGTAGTAGCCGGCGGAGCAGTCGTGCTGGCTCGGTGAGAAGCCTTGCGCTCGGAGAGAAAGAAAAATACGGAGAGGGCGAGGAATTCAACAGCGCATTTTACAAACCAATCCCGACTACTGGCAGTCCTACGGATGTCCTCGCAACCAGATTTCAAGGTTAGTGCCTTGTTTCTTCATTGGCGTTGTATAACAGATTTGAGCCAATGCCTTTAGATAATTATCACTGATTATCTTCTCAGCGTGGAGGAAAGTGCTTAAGGATTTGATCACATATTTCCGGGATATACAAAAGTCATATGAAGCTCGCTCCAAAACATTGACCACAGTCTCCCATGCCATCAACAACATCACTATTCCTGGGGAATTTCTGGCTTCCGGCGGTGTGGGCGATGCGACCTATATTTTGCAAGACTTCCACAAACGTATCCTAAACGAGACGAACAGAGCAAGAGAGATGGAAAACGAAGTCATTATGCAACTAACCGGACTACGCAGTGATCTTCAGCAAAAGATCAAAGAGATCAAGAGCTTGTCCGGAGACTTCAAGAACTCTGTGGACAAGGAGACTGAAGGCAGTCGAAGGGCTGTTCGCCATTTGCAGGAAGCCTTGGGATTGGTAGACACAGACCCAGCAGCTACTGCAGGAAAAGGTGATCCATTTATCGTCAAGCTTGGTGTTGATCGCCAAATAGAGCGACAAATTGAGGAAGAGAACTACCTGCACAGAGTATGTATAAAGCTGTGTAATGTGTGCTTTCGTCCACTGATATCTCCAGGCATATCTCAACCTTGAGTCGTCGGGTCGTGAGCTGGAATCGATCGTCGTTGGTGAAATCCACAAAGCCTATACAGCATACGCGGGTATTTTGAAGCGCGAAGCTGATGAGGCCTTCGACACTGCCGAGAAGCTTCGTGAAGGACCGCTTGCGATGGCAAAGGATCATGAATGGGAGGTTTTCGTCGCCAATAATGATCACATGGTCGACCCAAGGATCCCAATCAGATCCTTTGAGCAGATTACGTATCCAGGAAAGGATCATCCCGCTGCAACAGAAGTTCGAAGTGGTATGCTTGAGAGGAAGAGCAAGTATCTCAAAAATTACACACCGGGCTGGTAAGTCACATCTCTTTCTAACCAAGTTTACTAGGTCTCACCCTAAGTGTTAGGTACATTCTTTCACCAACCCACCTCCATGAATTTAAGTCCGCCGATCGAATATACTCGCAGGCTCCGATCATGTCGCTGTTCCTTCCCGAGCAGAAACTGGGTTCCCATTCAGAGCCTGGGTCATCGTCACATAAGTTCATGCTCAAAGGCCGTCAAACCGGTGGGATGCACCGCGGTCACACATGGATCTTTCGGGCTGAGTCTTACGATACAATGATGGCATGGTATGCCGACATCAAAGAACTCACCGAGAAAAGTGGGAAGGAACGCGATGCCTTCGTTCGTCGCTCACATGCACGCAGCCTATCAGGAGGAAGCATGAAAGCTCACTCCATTGGCGACAGTTCCGATGGTGGCTTGGAGGAAGACGAAGCTGATGCTCAACCTTACTCGTCCGAGCAGTCGGTTCGTGGAGTTCCTCCCGCAGACAAGGCCGGCGATCGTGGCATCGACACTCGAATCGAGCGTAATGCTGAAGCAGGGCCAGAGGTATACACGTATGGTGATGAACAACTGGATGCTGCGGGATGGCCACCCTCACAGCGCCCCTCTCCAGGTGGGCGATTTCCATCGGATTTGAACGTGCACCGAGGCTTACAAGCACCGCTTTCGCCCAGTAGCGGAGAAAGTTCGACAGAGAGAGATCGAGATGCAATAGCTGCAGCAGGAGCCCTTCCTGGTTCTGGTATGCCGTATTTGCCATCTGATGACACAGAACAACAACCTCAACATATCGCGGTTCTTGCAGGAGGGGAAAAGGCAACAGCAAATGAAAGAGAGCATGATTACCAGGAGGAATCCGCAGCCGGACATGGTCATACTAAGCCGCTGCAACATTTCAGCTCTGCGCCGCAACGCCAATATAGCCAACAGTCGCAATACTCGCAAGCTCAACCGGAGTATGCTCAATCCAGTCAGCATTCCACTCACCCTCAGCAAGAATCTACACAGTCCTATCAGCAGTATGCTCAGCCTCAGCAAAAAACCGCCCCTACGCCCTCACGGTTCACAGAGGATCTACCCCACCAAACTCAACATGACTACACCGGCTCAGGCATCGCCGCTAGCATTGGAGGCGCTGCTATCGGTGCTACAGGAGTGTATCAATACGTCCAACAGCCTCACGGTCAGCAGCCACAGCAACCCGAAACGGTTATGGATGAAATGGATCACGCATCTGCCGTCCCCGCTCAGGGCACTTCTTCGCCTCCTATCACAATCGAGACCGCCACCACCATATCACCCACCACTTTCACCAACTCCTCTCAAGGTGACGCTGGAAGCCTCTCCACCATGCCCACTAGTATGGGCAGCATCAACTACGGCGTTGATTCGTCCCAACAGAAGACGACACCATCCGCACACCAAGCCGGTACTGTGACGACGGTCGAGGCTGTGCCTACCAGCGCCGCTGCACCGGATGAAACATCTTACGCACAGCAAGCCGGCACGGGGATGAAAATGACCGCAGACGCTCTCCCCACCGCTGGACCAGACCAAACCCAAGATGCGCCCAGCAAACCCACGCCATTACGAAGCGTGACTGCAGGCACGATCAGCGATCTACACATCCCGGGAGAGTTTCCCAAGACGCCAAAGTACGCGCAATAAAGTGGGACTCACTATCACTATCTTCGGAGACGGAACGAGCGAAGGAAGAAAATTGTACGAAACACCGGAGTCAGTTCACCTGTGAAGGCCTTGCGGAAACATACAACTCGCACATTGCAGCGTTAAGCGGAGTCAAAGTGCCTCCATCGAGATAGATAACTGGACATGCCCAATGCCGACAATGGGTACCGAGAGTGGAATGGATGGGGGGCAAAGAGATGTTGGTCTCGAACCGTTCTTGTTTTTTCAGCTTCCGCATTTGTGTATTATTCAGATTTGTGTTCCCAGCGATTTCCGTTGATGATTAACCACCCCCTTCGCATATGCCGCAGCAGTTTAGCAGTTTAGCATTTGGTACTATACCCAGTTTTTTTCAGTCATTTCGACTCGTTAAGTTGTTCGCTGTAGCTGTTTTCCTGTTCCGGAACCGA